AAGAAAAGAAAGAAAGAAAGAAAGAAAAGAAAGAAAGAAAGAAAGAAAAGAAAGAAAGAAAGTGGTACAATTAGAAACCAAAGAAAGAATGAATGAAAGAAAGAGTTACAAATATAAGCAAAAAAGAAAGAAAGAGATACAATATCTGGACAATAAACCTGCTATCCCGCTATCGAGGGGCACTGATGGGTCGAGCAATGCCTAAAGCCTCGTTTTCGAAGGAGACGAGTGACAGATTAAAGTGGTGATATTTCAATCGGTATAAAATGTGTGTCGAATTTTGTCTTCTGGCTAGCCATCTCATGTGAAAGAAAAGAAGAAGCGTTTATTGTTAGCATTAAGTTGATCAAGCGGTGACAGAAACTAAAAAGACATGAAGTACAGACGTTGACCTCTCGAGTAAATCCGTGTTTGCTGGGTTGATCGGGACGGTTCTCGTTTACTTTGGAATGCTGTCAATCAAGTAGCTAGTCGTGTGAAACAACAATATGGCGAGTATCCCGGCAACATGTCGATCCGGCTAACTTACAGGGAATTCTGAATCCACTACAACAGTATTCACATTAATCGGACTATTGCCTCATCTTTGTCGCCATATTTATCACACCGTTTCGGCCGTTGTACGCTCCGACCTTGTTGAGGTGGTTGGAATGTCGAACTGAACCCTTTATTTCGCTCGCTGGGTAGACTGTTCTAGTTCCACGTGCCATGTCTAATGGATTTCAATATCACTGTGCCATGTGTCCTTGAAGACACATGGCACAGTGATATAAAGGTGTTAGTTAGATCCAGTGACAGGACCCAAAGTGTGTGTGTTCAATACCCGGTTAAGGCAGTGGAGAACTTGGAGAGGGGAATTGACAGGAGATAACTGATAACTGACATCCATTAAACATGGCACGTGGAACTAGAACAGTCTACCTCACGAGCGAAATAAAGGGTTCAGTTCGACATTCCAATCACCTGAAGAAGGCCGTAGCGAACAACGGCCGAAACGTTGTGATAAATATGGCGACAAAGATGTGGACAATAGTCCGAATAATATAAATAGTGTACATAATATCACATCTCAGAAATATAGACGGCCCCTACAACAGGCTATACTTTATTTGTTATATCAACATCTTTTTGGGGATAGCAAGCAGCTGCCTTGTCGTATCTCTTGGATTTCTTCGACATCTTCAAATCTTGTTCCTTTCATGTGGGATTTGATTTTTGAAGAGGAAAAAGTCGTAAGGGTTGAGAACAAGGCCTGGGAGCTGTTGTTTCTGCTGAAGAGGTTAATTTCTTCTTCGCCTAAGCAAACGTAAATTCGAGGGAAAAAAGAATACGTCGTATTTGGGGTAAATAAATGTATAATTTATTTACATATATACAAAAGCCAGCATACTACTCGTTGCTGTTGTAAAAGGCTACAGAGTTGGGAAGGAAGAAAGAAAGAGGAAGAATATTGGTCATGGCTGTCGGCTAATGTTTTGTGAAGACGGCGGCGGCGAAGGACGAAAGTTGAAAAGTATCGCGTTCAGTCTCAGTCTGTCTGCGGCGTTCTTGATCAGCCTCTACATGTCAACACCGCAGCCGAGTCTCTCTCTCTCTCTCTCTCTCTCTCTCTCGCTGTCTTCTGCAGTGTTGAATCAAGGAATTTATATCCGTCGTATTGGCTCCAAATCACAGTCTGTGTCTTTTAGCGGTAGCTATTTCTACAGGTAACTATATAAAGTTCATTTAATACCGAAAACATGCGTAGAGCCATGATGCGCAGAGGCCTGTTTTCACATTCTGCCTTGGGTCGTCGAGCAGTAAACATCCGGTTTAGTGTAAGAAACACGACAGAGGGAGATAGCGGTTAACCCTAGGCTTGAACTGGCTAAGATTGTAGTGTTTCTGAGGAATATGGTAGTTGTCGTACCAGGGGAATGTTTTGATTTGACAAAAACTTCTGCACAAGCTATTGTCATTGATGGAAGCTCTGTGATGTGGTGAGGCGACCACACTCTACACACCTTCCTAGAGGCTCTAATCTGGATATTTTCACTCCGTTACCATAGCAGTCCCAATACTTACTGATCAGACCGTATTGCATATCTGTTATTGTCTATGACTATTTTATTTTGAGGATCCTATTTTTTTTACTATAATTACCTTTTTTTTTTCTTTTTCAAGTAAATCATCATTCACAATGTCGGCCATCTTCTGCTAACACGTTCTCGAAAATTTCTAATGTATCAGGCAGACATCTAAAATTCACGTCCGTCAAGAACAATTTTTATAACTCAATAATGGTAAACAATAGCGCTACCAAAAATCTCAAAGAACAGCTACTGTCATACAAAATTAAATTAAGTGAAACGAGACAAATTCATCTTTTAATTTCGTCTTTCTCAGACATTTTTAGTCAAATAAAAACAATATTAAGGCACGTTTATCGAAATTTCTAGAATTTGTCTATTTTGCCCAGCAAAATTCTCATTATAGCAAAGAATTTTGACGTTGAGATTGATATGAATTCTATGCGAAAACATGAAATTATATGCTATCTATTATAAAGGTTCCCTTCCAGATGGAGAGAGAAACAGGAGAGAGCGAGAGAGAGAGAGAGGGAGAGAGAGAGAGAGAGAGAGAAAGAGAGATAGACGTAGAGAAGAAAAACGGGAGAAGGAGAAAGGGAGAAATGGAAATAAAAAGAAAGTGTACAGAATAAGAGGGGGTGTAAAATGAGAGACATATGAAAGGGCAATAAGGGGAGAAAGAAAGAAAGAAAGCAAGTAAGAAAGGAAGGAAGAAAGAAAGAAAGAAAGAAAGAAAGAAAGAAAGAAAGAAAGAAAGCAAGTAAGAAAGGAAGGAAGAAAGAAAGAAAGAAAGAAAGAAAGAAAGAAAGAAAGAAAAAAGAAAGAAAGAAAGAAAGAAAAAAAGAAAGTGGTCAATATAAGAGATGTGGTAGAATGGTTAGCGTCAACGTGGTGCAATGGTTAACGAGCTTTTTTCACTAGATCATATACGACAGAGTAATAATATGCTTACTGAATTTATTTAATAAATTCAGTAAAATACATTTTAAAATACGATTTTCTTTGTGGAGTCGTCTTGTACAGCGAATATAGCCCGAAACCTACATTTTAAATTGAAAATTTGGGGTCGTCTTATATGCCCAGTCACTTTGTACACCAGCATATAGGGTATATCCAGTGAATTTGAAGATCCTACAGCAAAGCTTTCAGTCAAATTAACATTTTTATACCATATTTTGCCTGCTGCTTTGGTCTTTGACTGAGATTCCAACATCAAATAACGTTAACTAAAAGGACCGAGACAATTTTTTCTTAATTTTAGTGTAAGTTCCCAAATATTAAAACAATTATAATCTGTAAAATGTATGAAAACTGTTCTCAAGAAGATATTTAAAACTAGCCTAGAAGCTGCCCTTCGGGTGGAATTTAAGCTAGCTCCTGCAGAGAGTTTTGGGGCCTTCGCACTTTTACCTTCAGCGACCTATGTACGTAAAAGTTATAAGAATTTAGAAATAATAAAAATATTTTTTTCTTTATTCGACACCTTAATTCGGCATAATCTTTCTTCGTATACTCAACCGGTCTCTGTAGTTTGTTTACATTTATTTTGCGCGCAATTTTTATTTTCTTTTAAAATCACCATTCTTTATGCTCCCATCAAATAAAGTCACTCTTGGTTATGGTCCAGTTCCTTGTACCAACGGTGATAGTCTTCAGGTAGAACCAATAAAAAAGAACTCGAACACAGGTATGGAATAACACAGATATATTACAAATAGGAATATATACAGAGAAGTAGAAGTGTTAGTATGAACAATCAGGTTTAGTACAGAGAACAATGTAATCTCGACCAGTATCACTATCCCAATGTCTTGCAGTAATTGTCTGAACGCGACTCTGTTTCGGACTGCCTCTGACTCGACTCTTGACTCGACTTGACTACAGACTCTCCTTGCCTACTCCTGAGGCGCAGTATTTATTAAGTATGGAATAGTACATTATTATTATTATGGGTAAGATCCCATAACACTCTTTAAAAAAAACCCAAAAAAACAAAACAAAAAAAAGTTACGGAAGCCGAACTATGTAATATTTCAAATACGTCACATTACGCGTGTTAGAAAAAGAAAAAAAAAACATATGAGCAACGTACCGTGCATTGCTTATGTTTTAATTATGTCTTAATTAGACGATATCAATTGCAATTGCGACGAAAAGCGAAATTAAAGCTAAACCTTTGAGAAAGAATTGTTTTTTAAGTCTTTGACTCTGCTCGATATTTAAATTTAATTTTAAATGAGTTATTTTAATTAATTTTTAATCGCGTGTACTGTAGTTGCTATCTGTTACTTCACGTTGTTTATGATTCGCCAAGGTCGAAAAACGGACGGACGGACACACGTGCACTGCGCTTTATTCATATAGCTGTACTCAGTTCCTTTCATACATCAATTAATCCTTACCTTTTCGACATAATCTTCTTTGTATTGATAAGGAAATTCTAGTCTAAACCTCTATTCTTGTATCTATTTCTTGGTTGACGGGTGCTGAATCTATTTTTTTGGTGACTGAAAATGGCTACAAAAGAGTCAAAATGGTTTAAATACAAAATGCTTCTCTCCCATAATGTCTGTGACATTTTCATACTCGAAATGTACCAATTATTATGGAACAGATGTATTTGTTTTTCTGACAACTTATTAGTTAGCGAATTATATTAACAATTAATATCCGGAATTAATTTCTCCATCAGATCATCAACGGATTTTTTCCTGTCGACTTTGAAGTTGTTCTTTGTGTGAGTTTTGGTAAAACACACATACGCGTGTGCGCGCGCAACACACACACACACACACACACACACACACACACACACACACACACACACACACACACACACACACACTTTCTCTCGCTCTCCCCACCCTCTATTTCATTTTCTTCATTCTGCAGGGGTTAAATTATTATTATAAAAAAATGCCATTCCGTGATATGTTGACATGTGAAGATTAACCAGAACTTTTGATATTACTTCCAAAGGGCAAGTACTTAGGATTTGTCGGTTAATCCAACGGTTGAGTGAATATTTTTCTTTCTTTCTTTCTTTCTTCCTTTCTTCCTTTCTTTCTTTCTTTCTTTCTTTCTTTCTTTCTATTATTCTTTCTTTCTTTCTTTCTCATCTGCTTTCTTTCTTTCTTTCTTTCTTTCTTTCTTTCTTTCTTTCTTTCTTCCTTTCTTTCTTTCTATTATTCTTTCTTTCTTTCTCATCTGCTTTCTTTCTTTCTTTCTTTCTTTCTTTCTTTCTTTCTTTCTTTCTTATATATCATCATTTTTCATTCTTTCTGATCTATTATTTTCTTTCTTTCTTTCTTTCTTTCTTTCAATGCATTCCTTGTTTGTCGTTGTCATTTTCTTTCTTTCTTTCTTTCTTTCAATGCATTCCTTGTTTGTCGTTGTCATTTTCTTTCTTTCTTTCTTTCTTTCTTTCTTTCGATGCATTCCTTGTTTGTCGTCATTTTCTTTCTTTCTTTCTTTCTTTTTTCTTTCTTTCAATGCATTCCTTGTTTGTCGTTGTCATTTTCTTTCTTTCTTTCTTTCTTTCTTTCTTTGTTTGTTTCTTCTACGCATAGATTTTTCGTCTGTCATTTTTCTTTCTTTCTTTCTTTCTTTCTTTCTTTCTTTCTTTCTTTCTTACTTTCTTTCTTTCTATGCACTCCTTGTTTGTTGTTGTCATTTTCTTTCTCTTTCATCTATTCTCTCTTTCTTTTCTTTCTATCTCAATTCTAAATTCCTGAAAAATAATTAATGGGGATTTAAAGTGAGAGATGAAACTCTTAAAGTATTAGTGAAACGCATCCCTTTAAATCTCTACTTCCACATCACATAATATATTTGCGAATTCTTATGTACACACACACGCAAGCACACACACACACACACACACACACACACACATATATATATATATATATATATATATATATATATATATAGAGAGAGAGAGAGAGAGAGAGAGTAGCAAATAGCCTCAGACTAATATTCATACTGAGAAGTGTATGTAGACGAACGCTTACACGACTCTCCCAAACTTCCTTTCCTTTGAAGGTCTTACTAACTTTTGTCTTTCTCCATCGTTCCCAGTCCATGTCCTTCCATCAAAAGATTGGTAGGTTGCTCGGTGTTTTCTTCTGTCCGGCTTGCTTTTACTGTGTCTTGTGAGTATCAAATTCTCCAGTCCCTCTTTCCTCATTATGTGCCCTAAAACATTCAACTGTCTCTTTCAGATACTAAGTATAAATGTTTATTTTTGTTTTGATTTTTCTTAAAATTCTCTCGTTACTCATAAGTTCAATCCATAGTATTCTCAGCATCCTTCTGTAGAGCCATATCTCTTTTGCCTCAAGTTAAATACAAATATGAACTGTGCTCATTCTATGTGCCTTCGTATCCATTCATGGCTCTCCACTATTTCTTGTCTTTTTTAGCTCTTAATAATTTTTGTCTTTCTGTTATCTACATTAAACCTTGCTACACCATCCATTTACTGAAGCTCTCTAGGTAAGTTATTCATTGTTCTTCTTTGTCACTATTGCCGCCAGTCAGTCCTGTGAGTAACAGATTTTCCAAACGCCATTATGTGCCATAGGAATTTCAACTGTCTCTTTTTGATGTTAAGTATAAATTTCTCTTTTATTTCCATTTTCTCTAAAACTTCGTCGTTTTTTGTCATATGTTCGATTCGTGGTATTCTCAGCATCCTTCTGTAGAACCAAATTTTTGTTGCTGCACGTCTCTTCTGCGAGGAGATTGTCCAGCATTCACTGCCATATAGGAGGACTGAAATTACATAAGAATTCAGTACTATTTTCTTTCTGTTGCTTTAAGTTTCTTCTTCATGTATGAGGAGATTGTCTAACATTCATTGACATATAGGAGGACTGATACTATATAACAGTTCAGTAGTCTTTACTAAATATTATAAATAGGGAAAATAATAAAAAAAAGAGGGATAGGTGTTCTCAAAGAAACGTGATGTGCTATACAGGAGGGCCGATATGACATAAATTCAGGGTGTCCCTAAAGAAATATATGGAAATAAGAAATCCAATTAGGTTTATTTTTTACCTCCACAGATTAAACATTGTTTTGTAAAAAGAAGAAAGAAATTACTTCTTTTTATGGGGTCTGCTAAAGGAGAAGGTGTACTCAATGAAAATCACAGACGCAACACACTTGACTGAACGCATAGAGAGAGAGTGTGTTAAAATTGATGGCAATGTGGGTTTATTGTATGGACTTCACGTGAACTTGAAAAGCGGATCAACCTTTGAAGATGTTATTTTGTTAATATTCCAATTCAATAAAATGTTGTTGAAAATTTAATTTCTTGAAAATATGCATTTTTTGCCTAGGGTGCCCAGACTTTAGGTACACCCTGTAGTTCGACACTCTTTTTCGCTTATTTGTAGTGAAACTTTCCTCTTTCTCTATACTTTGCTTAGCTTTTGGAAGGCACTTTTCAGTATTCAACAGCGCTTGCAGATTCGTGTGTTACATTTACCGTTCGCTATTAAAGCACTTCCCTATAACAGTAATGGACGGAGAGGAGACGTATAGTTCTCTTGCTTATATTATTATTATTATTATTATTACATTTAAGAGATGAGCATGATTTAAGAAAAAAAAAAAAAAAAAAACAGTTATTATAACGTTTCGGCCTTTCAGTATCTGTCTATATTTCTGAGATGATGTATTAGGTACACTATTTACATTATTCGGACTATTGTACTCATCTTTGTCGCCATATTTTTTACAACGTTTCGGCCTTTCAGTATCTGTCTATATTTCTGAGATGAGGTATTATGTACACTATTTACATTATTCGGACTATTGTCCTCATCTTTGTCGCCATATTTTTTACAACGTTTCGGCCTTTCAGTATCTGTCTATATTTCTGAGATGAGGTATTATGTACACTATTTACATTATTCGGACTATTGTCCTCGTCTTTGTCGCCATATTTATTACAACGTTTCGGCCTTTCAGTATCTGTCTATATTTCTGAGATGAGGTATTATGTACACTATTTACATTATTCGGACTATTGTCCTCATCATGTCGCCATATTTTTTACAACGTTTCGGCCTTTCAGTATCTGTCTATATTTCTGAGATGAGGTATTATGTACACTATTTACATTATTCGGACTATTGTCCTCATCTTTGTCGCCATATTTATTACAACGTTTCGGCCTTTCAGTATCTGTCTATATTTCTGAGATGATGTATTATGTACACTATTTACCTTATTCGGACTATTGTCCTCATCTTTGTCGCCATATTTTTTACAACGTTTCGGCCGTTCAGTATCTGTCTATATTTATGAGATGAGGTATTATGTACACTATTTACATTATTCGGACTATTGTCCTCGTCTTTGTCGCCATATTTATTACAACGTTTCGGCCTTTCAGTATCTGTCTATATTTCTGAGATGAGGTATTATGTACACTATTTACATTATTCGGACTATTGTCCTCATCTTTGTTGCCATATTCATTACAACGTTTCGGACTTTCACTATCTGTCTATATTTCTGAGATGATGTATTATGTACACTATTTACATTATTCGGACTATTGTCCTCATCTTTGTTGCCATATTCATTACAACGTTTCGGACTTTCACTATCTGTCTATATTTCTGAGATGAGGTATTATGTACACTATTTACATTATTCGGACTATTGTCCTCATCTTTGTCGCCATATTTATTACAACGTTTCGGCCTTTCAGTATCTGTCTATATTTCTGAGATGAGGTATTATGTACACTATTTACATTATTCGGACTATTGTCCTCATCTTTGTCGCCATATTAATTACAATGTTTCGGCCCTTCAGCATCTGTCTATATTTCTGAGATGAGGTATTATGTACACTATTTACATTATTCGGACTATTGTCCTCATCTTTGTCGCTATATTTATTACAACCATTCGGCCTTTCAGTATCTGTCTATATTTCAGAAATGAGATATTCAGGTGGTTCGAATGTCGAACTGAAGCCTTTATTTCGCTCACTGAGGTAGACTGTTCTAGTTTCACGTGCCATGTTTAATGGATGTCAGTTATCACTTATCTCCAGGAGAACTTTCAGAGGGGAATTAACAGGAGATAACTGATAACTGACATCCATTAGACATGGCACGTGGAACTAGAACAGTCTACACCAGTGAGCGAAATAAAGGGTTCAGTTCGACATTCCAACCACCTGAAGAAGGCCGGAGCGTACAATGGCTGGGAACGTTGTAATAAATATGGCGACATAAAATGATTACAATAGTCCGAATAATGTAAATAGATTTGTATACTGTTGAAAAATATTGGAAGAATTACGTCATTACTATTATTATTATTATTTAATCCATCAGCCGGGTTATTCCCTTAGGTGTTGGTAAAATTACAATGAGAATTAGCAAAAGATTTCTTGAAGAGAAGCAAACGGATGATGCAGATTAGAGTAAATTAGAAAACACTCCCTAAGGATATCCGGGTGTGGCCCAGTCGGATGTGTGCTGATAAACTTCTGATTCCCTTTTAATCTTTATTTGATATAAATCTTTATTTGCAATGCTAACCGGTAATAGCGAGTTGTGTAACGGATATCAGGAATGAAATCAACGAACCGGGTTCAAATTTCAGCCTCGCCTACCGTTTTTTACTTTAGCATAAACACCATTGAGAAAGGAATTAATTTAGCTCTGAATTAAATAGCAGGGTGGACTGACCTTTCTAGAGTTGCCAGGGAATCAGCCTAAAAGAACAGGCAAATTCTCATTTTTCCAAACTCTGAAAAAGTTAACTGGAAAACACTAATACCATACTCAAGAAGTCATAGCATTTCAATAATAATAATAATAATAATAATAATAATAACCCGTCCCTTAGGAGTGAGCCTAACTGAGGTAAAAAAAATCTGCAATAGGAAGACACTCCTACACAAATAATAAATCTTCAAGTCGCAACAACCTGGATAATCCCAATGATAGCCCGGCGAATTCTCCAATTAGTTACACAACGATTCATTTAAAGGAAAAAAAGGTAAAATGGCCACGTAAGGAGTGCAAACTCGTTATGACTGAATTCTATGAAGCTTTGTACAAACCTCAGAAAAACATCATTCGACAAACACATGACAAGAAGCCAAGGAATAAATCATGAGACATAATAAGTCAAACACAAAATATTGAAATGGAGGAACGAGAACAACTCCCAAAATTACAACCAGCAGACACTCAAAATTATTAAACTCTACAAAGCAGCACTGAAATTAATACTATATGTGTCTATATCCCTGAGATGAGGTATTATGATTACTTGCATTATTTACATTATTCGGACTGTTATCCTCATCTTTCTTGTCATATTTATAACGTTACGGCCGTTGTTCCTCAATAACACATGGCCCAGTGGATAAAGACGTTGGTTAGATCCAAAAACCTCAAAATTATTAAACTCTACAGTGCAGCACTTAATACTATATGTGTCTATATCCCTGAGATGAGGTATTATGATGCTACAATGCAGCACTCAAATTAATTTGGGATGAAGTAGATCCGCATATAAGTCTCAATGAAGCAATATATGCCTCAGATATAAAGATCCGACTTGGAAAAGAAAAATAGAGAAAGAAATTAAACACTTTAGAAGTGAATTATCAGTAGTCAATGAATTTAACAAGAAGAACAAATTTAAGGACTAGAAAAGTCAGAAAGGTAAAAGGAAAAT